CACTACCAATGCATTATTGGAACTACCATTCCAAACAACCTAAAAGCTAAATCACTACCAAATCAGCAATCATATACCTATCCACGCCAAACAAACGATGGCGATATACAAAAACAAAAAGAATACCATTCCACAGGAAACCAAAACCCATATGTATACGATTGGATATGTATTTTTATTACGAGTAGAATTTTAAAATGGTATTCAAATATCGACGATTGTGTGATGTCGCGTTGGATTGGTATTCATGTACGTGATGTCCATTAATGGATGTTATTGGTTTCATATTGGTTGCATCTTGTCATATTTGCATCAAATGGTAATGATTTGTTAGTGGTAGTATGAGCTAACCATCGCATGAAAAGCTAACCACTACCATTACATAGAACACACTACCATTGCAAATATACCACATTGATCACTACCATTCCGCACCAAACATCACAGGGATGCAGATCACTACCAATGCATTAAAAGCTAACCACTACCGTTACGTAGAACACCACATTACCATTGCAAAGATACCACACTGATCACTATCATTCCACACCAAACATCAAAGGACACCAAACAACCTAAAAGCTAGATCACTATCAAAATTGACCACTACCATTCAGTACCAAATGACCAATAATATACCAATCCACGCCAAACAAATGAACACGATCGCAAAGATACAAAAACGAAAAGGGAGCCGAAGGAGGTAAAATGAACGTTGTCGGTGCGTCGTCTGAGTGGGAGGAACTGGAAATAAAAGGGAGCTGCCGAGGACCCTCGCCGATCCACCAACAGAGAAACAACCACTCGTCGGCCCAAAAGGAGTGACTGTGGCGACCGGACAGAAAAGGTCTCCCACTGTGCCGGAGAGAGAGACGAAAAACGACGAAAAAGAGCCTGCGACGACGGTAATAGAAAAGGGCTCCGTTGAAGAATCTTGTGCATTAGGGTTATGGCGGAGGGAGAGAGGGTAACGGAAGAACGTTGCCGGTGCATTAGGGTTATGGTGGTTGCATAGGGGAGAGACGAGAAACGACGGAAGCGAGCCAGCAGCGTCGGAGAGAGAGTGTCGCGCCGGAGAGAGGGTAACGGCGGAGAGAGAGGACGGCGGCGGAGAGAGACCTTGGGAATAGCAAGAGGCCCTGTTGAAAATGGTTGTCGGTCATCGGAATATGCTTTTTGTCGTCGGAATATGCTATTTTGTGGCCGGAATATGCTATTTTGTGGCCGGAATATGCTATTTTGTGGCCGGAATATGCTTACCGGAGTCGGAATATGCTTACCGGCGTCGGAATATGCTTACCGGCGTCGGAATCTAGTCACCGGGGCCGGAATATGCCTATCGGCGTCGGAATCTGCTCATTGACGGTCACCGGAGTTCGGTCAACGGTCTTCGTTGACCGGTCAACGGTCTTCGTTGACCGGTCAACGGTCTTCGTTGACCGGTCAACGGTCAACGACCACCGGATGTTATGGTCTGCATTGTGAGATTTATGGTTTGGTTTCTCATATTTTTTTATGCCTTTTATGGTTTGTTTTATTGTGTTTGTGGTTTGCATTGAGAAGTTTCTGGTTTGTTTTCAAAAACTTTGTGGTTTGCATTGTGAGGTTTCTGGTTTGTTTTAATATATTTGTGGTTTGCATTATGACGTTTATGGTTTGCTTTTTTGTGGTTTGATTTACTGTATTTGTGGTTTGCATTAGGAGGTTTCTGGTCTGCTTTCGCAAATGTTGTGGTTTGCTTTGTGGGGTTTCTGGTTTGTTTTAGGGGATTTGTGGTCTGAATTAGAAGGTTACTAGTTTGCATTAAGAAGTTTCTGGTTTGCTTTCGAAAATTTTGTGGTTTGCATTGTGAGGCTTCTGGTTTGTTTTAGGAGATTTGTGGTATGCATTCGGAGGTTTTTGGTTTGCATTAAGAACTTTCTGGTGTGCTTTCGAAACTTTTGTGGTTTGCTTTGTGAGGTTTTGGGTTTTTTTTTATATATTTGTGGTATGCATTAGGACGTTTTTTGTTTGGTTTACCGTGTTTTTGGTTTGCGTTAGGGGTTTTTTATGTGCTTTTCAAAATATTTATGGTTTGCTTTGTGGGATTTTTGATATGTTTTAGCGAATTTCAGGAAAGAATTTAGCTTCCTGAATCGTCACTAGAATAATCTTAGATCACTAGAAAAGATTATTCAATTCCGAATGTCGAGACCCCTGAAGCTCAAGAAAACCTCGTACTCTCCAGCTGGAAGAACAGACGAAGGCGTAGAAGAAGTCGCCACCATCCCCAAACTTTCACTCTCCAAATTCCGCCACCGTTGGCCAAAACTCCAACTCGTAGCCCTCCCACCGCCACTGCACCCTTTCCTCCCACCACCTCCACCAAACCCCCCATCCCAATTGCCAACTCTCTCTCTTACCGTCCTTGCCTTCTCCCCTTAGGTGAGAGCATTCCATTTCTGGCTGTCGATCCTTCAATCAATGATTCAGAGAGACTAATCACCAAAAGTAATTGCAAATAAAGGATTTTAAAGAGCACAATTCGTTGTAGATGATGACCCCCGTCGTAAACCGCCGGTAACCTCTGAAATTCGCCTTTCGAATTGCGAACAGGCCTTCGATCAGAAATTGCACTCGCTTGTCGATCTCCCCCTCGTGCAGGACGTCGCGCAATCGATCGAAACACGCGGCCAGTCCTCTCGGCAAGAGGTCGTGAAGGAGCGCTCCACATTCCGTCAGGAAGGCGACCGCGAGCTCGACGCCGTCGTCGCTAGGGTTTTCGAGCAGGCGGTGGAGCAGCTCGAGTGCGACGAACTTTGCAAGCGCGAGGAGCCAACTGATTTCTCGGCGCGATTGAACTTCGCAAGCGCTTTCCCTTCCAGTCGAGCCAACTGAGATTGGTTGCAGACTCCTGTGCAGTCACTTCCTGTGTAGTAGTGGTCGTCGTAGCAGCAGGCGAAGTAGCAGATGGTTGAAGGCGATTCTGGGATCGCCAACTCGCAGCACCGCAGCCGGAGAAGCCCTCCGCTGTTGGGGAGGAGGAATCAAGAACGCGTGGGCGTGAGGAGAAAATCGAGAGTGATAGAAATTAAGATATCTTAATTTAATTTTTAGTATATTTACCCTTATACCCTTAATGAATCCTGTTGTTACTATAACAACACAAGAAGTGTTGTTATAGTATCCGCACCCTGTTTCGAATGAGCTATTAAAATTTTATATTTTATTCTTGAACTGAATGTATATATTGAATTAAAGAAACGATGTTGCGATATTTTGTCTAAAAATTATAATATGTTTTGTAGTTTTTTAAATACAAATATTAAAGCTTTCTCAGAAAGTTGACGCTCTATTGCTCTCATTTTCTCTCTCATTCAGTACGTTGTTAACTTAAAGTAATTCGAACAATCGTTTGAGTCAAAAGCTAGTTAATTTTGAGACACAATTTCAACTCTTTAAGGATGAATATCCTTCCTTTCCTTTTGGACAATTTCTCAATTTATTTGATGTATCTCAATTTGCGGTTTGATTAGTTAAGAGTACCTTGTTAATAGACTTCAATCCTACCCTTTAATGGCTAAGTCACACGAAATTGTGTTTTAGGTTTTAGAAGTGAATTCCGAATTTTCAACGACGGGATTCTGAGATTGAAGCTTATCTTTGCTTGAGCATGCTCAAGTTTGATGAATTATAGTTTTTTTCGCGTTTCATTTCGGGTATCCAGACTTGTATAATTTTTCTTTCTTTTTGTATGTGACTAAACTTAGTATTTTTCGCTCTGTCTACGATGTAAAACATTATTGGTGTTACACGAAGTTGATTATTAGAGTTAATCGTTGTATGATTGTTTCTTATGTGGTGCTTAAGTGTCGTCCACATCAATGCCACATCTATGTTACTTGTGAAATTATCTTCTTCTTCTTTTTATCATTCTTTAACTGTCAAAGATATAATCATTATCAAAGTGAATGCCCCGAACCAAAAAATCGGCCATTGAAATCCAAATCGATATAAGTTTTCACTGCTATAAAATGATTAAATCAGGACTTCAGAATAAAATAACTCACCGCCAATGTACCCGATACAAACTACACTAGGGTTTTACCATCCCTCTGATTATTTGTCAAACTTGGGGTAGCATTCGGTTAACAACCAAAACAAGTTGACTGTTTTACTAGCGAGCCAAAACTCAAGTGGCTATTTCGGAAGTTGGAATTAGATCAGAAGAAATAAACTGAATCGCTATTCGTCGCCATAATATTTAAAAATTTTCGCCCTAAATCATACTGTATTGACGTTTATACCCCTATTTTCAATTTCCATCCTCAACCCCTAGCTTCCACCGCCAGCCAAATTCCGGCTGCCACCATCGCAACCTGCCGTCCGTCGGAGAAACAGAGCTTCTTCCTTGGCCTTCCATCTGTCTAATCCCAACCCATTCCTCCGCCACATTGCACATAAATGAAAGACTTTTTTGTTGTTTCTCTCTTTATATTGTCCCCAGCATTGGGTCTTGAAAATCTTTTAATTTTTCCATTACAGAATAAAAAATCGTTCAATGAAGGTGTGTATTTACAGCCATGGAGAAGATTAGGAAGGTTGTGGATGTGATTTCTGGGGCTCGTCATTTTGGATGCCACGGTGGTCAGCATGATCCTGATCATAATCAAGCGGATTGGGTTTAGAGTGCAAGGCAGTTCCCGGCGGCAGAGGTGCTTTGAAGGGCGATGTTGCTCTCGTTAACATGATGAAGATTAGGGATTTCCGGATTTTTTTTTTAATTTTAATTTTGATTTGGTTATTTAGTAATTCTATATTAAAGTTACGATGACAAAAGTAAAATTAGCATTTAAGTGTTCAAAAGACAAAAAAAAAAACTTCCCTAAAAAAAACTAAGGGCATTAAAGTACATTTTACATAATTAGGGCGACGAATAAGGACTTTTAGGGCGACGAATAGCAATCCCCGAAATAAAACCAAACACAGAAACCCACCGTCAGCGTTTTCCATCCACCGCCATGGCCGCCCGTCCAAAAAGCTCAACTCTTTCGTCAGAGTTGGTAAACCCTCCTCCGTCTCCCATCACCAAACTCAGGACCGACGATCAGCTCGTAGAAATTCTGATTCGACTCCCGACCCCGAGAACCGTCTGCCTCTGCAAAGCCGTCTGCAAGCGGTGGAACTCCCTAATCTTCTCGCCATACTTCAATCGCCGCTTCATCTCTCACTACCAGACCATCAAAGACGGCCCGCCTCTGCTTCTTCGCTCCGACGACCACCCGAAAACATCGGCAGTCCTCAGCTTTCTCCCCGTGCCGTATCAAGGTCGAGGCCGTTTTGCAGTCCTTGATTCCTTCAAGGACTTGCTTTTTGGCGGGTTTGTGGATCGAATTTATGTCGACAACGAACTGGGTAGATCGTATTTGGTATGCAATCCGATTACCAAGCAATGGGTCGCCCTTCCTTTAGCGCCTGAAAAGGAGGGCGCTCATGGCCGTGCCTATATAAAATATGTGCACGCGAGGTTAGTTTGTCAATCCCGTTATAACTGTAATCTTCAGCTAGGAGATGGCCAAGTATTTGTTCATTCTGAGTATCGGTTTCGGTGGTTATATGCAATGCACCAAGGATAGCTAGGAGATGGCCAAGTATTTGTTCAGAGTCTGGAGAATGGACCAAGGATTCTCTTGTTCTTGCCGGCCGATTAAGAAAGATCCGGCCCAATTCACTTTCGTGCAATGGGGAGTTATTGTGGTGGTTTCCTTGTACCGGGGTTCCTGGCTAACCAATGGTGGCCTTCAATCATTTCTGCCTTGAAATACCTCCCACTGTTTTTTATACTTCTTCAATCCCACAGCCCGCTTCCGAACTCCGAGAGTGGATTGCTTCTATCTCACAAGATGCTTTGCACATGATTGTAGCTGAAGCTAAAACGGCACCTATTATTTGTTCAACGAATGCCTTCACTGTTTGGAAGCTGGGAGAAGATGGTAAGTCTTGGAGGAAACTATATGAAATGTGGTTGAGTGAGACATCATGGCGCATTTATGACCTTGAGTATATGCAATCTTTTGGTCGTCATGGTTTTGCAATCTTGTCTTCCAACTTGCGGACGGGTGAGCTAGAGTTCTTTGGTCCTGTGGGACAATGTCTGGTTCCTATCGTGAGTTTTCAGCCTGGCCTCTCTAGCTGCCCTATTTCGAATCCAAGGTATAAGGAATTGCGAGTTCTGTATGATGGAAGCTACAATTGTTTGGTTCAGACTGTGGAAGCAACTCCTTGGATAATTGGTATCACTTCTGCTTCTGAGAATTTACCCTTGCTTTCTCGAATCTAAGAAGCACAGATGTGTTGCATTTGTACTCTTTGTCTTTTTCGTGGTTTGGATTCTAATCTGATCTCCCATCTCATTTGTCTTGTGGTTGGTCTGATGGATACTGAAGCAATAGAAGAAGAATGTGCGCGCCAACCCGCTGACGGATTAGAGTTGAGTTAAGCTATTCACGGATTATGAATGGGGGTTGCTGCAATTGGTATTACTTATGCTTCTGATAATTTACTTCTTTATCTTTTCTCCCCTTGTTCTTCTGTGTTCCGAGTCTTTGCTAGGGTTTGAGAATGCGCTGGTGGAAGCCGAAAGAAGCATTTCCATATATTCCCCTAACAGGATAAGGGAAGACATCTTGAACATCCTTACTACTCTCTCATTTAACATGCTATTGCTAAGTAGTACACACATAACATGTCTAATTTTGTGCGAGATTGCTGAGAATCCTTTTGTCTTTGCATGTCTAGTTATGTACTTATGTTTCCAATTGTTTGAGAGTTTTGTCCCTTCATATGCTAAGACGCTATATTGGCGTGGTCTGAATATCTTTCTGTCGTCTCATTTCCTATCTTATCTTATCTCCAATCTCATGTATGACAGTATGAGGTGGTTAACCTGACTGCAGAAGAAGGCGAAGCCGTTGTTGTAATCTTAATATTGGGTGGTAGAATGTGGAATGAGTGGATGGTAGGGAAAATGGGTGTGCTTCACCCTGTGTATTTATCAGTTGGCAGCCGGCACTGGTTTTGTTCTACTGATGGGGGCGGGAGACAACATTTGTTCTTGCTTATTTCTTCTTGCTCGCTTGCTGCTTTGTTCCTTTCCTTTTAGCTTGTAGTTTTTCTTTATTCTTTTTGTGTACTTGTGCAGGGGTGTACATTGCTCTTCTGTTTCTTGGAATGAAAAAAATGTCCCTGTTCTCGTGCAATTTGGAGACAACCGTCGTATTCTGCTTCTCCCTAAACTTTTTTTTTCCTTCATTTTCTTTTTAGCCAATTGTCATAAGTGTACAAATGTGATCTTTCATTCTATCCATACTTTTCCGATCATTTAGCCTCGTCGGGCCACTCTTTACCTATAGGCTTTCACTTGTTCCGAACACCGAGCACTATGCTAGACTATTGGTTGTATTATGAAAATGCTATGGTCCTCGGAGAACCTTGTTCCTCATCGAAGAATTGGAGAGCAGAGGAGGAATAGGTGCAGAAGCAGCAATTTTAGCAGCTTCCCCGGCACTTGAACTCAACTCAGAACTCAGCAGCCATTCTTCATCTGCCGACCATTTGTGCATATGGCTAGATGATTTGGAGCAGGATTAGTTCTATCCCTTTTAGTTCCTTTACTTTATCCTAGTAGAGGACGATTCGCCGCTTTATGCCTGGAAGAGTAGCAGTGGCTGAGAGTCTTGAACGATTGCCTTTCGGGTATAGGACACTTGGGAACTGAAGCGAATAGGAGAGACTTTTGCTGGAGATTAACTATGCAAGTAATAGAGACTTCGAGGAAGAATGTAAACTTTTGAATCTCGAAATAAAGGTGTCAAGTTTATGATAGAAAATCTTTCGTTAGCAGAATTTTCAGAAACGGCATAAATCAAACTGAACAGTGTGCAATAATACACAAAGTTAGGCATTGCACAATTAGGCGCTTCATTACAGGTAACTGTTCCCTACAACTAAATCCAAGACAATCAAACTGCAAACGGCTAACACAAGCAGCAGCAGTCAATACTACAAGTAGTAAGTAACTAATGCACACACACATCACAACAACAAACAAGCTAGAGTTCAGAGAGAATGGCCGGGATGTAATGAGACAACTCGGCCGTGAGAGACTGGAACCCATTCACAAGCTGCGTGTGGAACTCCTGGTCTTCCTCTCCTATCAATCTGAAGTGCACTCGAATTGCACGTTTGCAAACCGCCATAAACTCGAGCAATGCAGCGATGAGTTGCTGCAGTTCTTGTGACCGAAGCCTGGTAGCTGGTTCACCAGAGAGAAAGGCCGTGCACACACTCAGTACGCCACTGTTAACCTGTTCAACCCAGAATTGGCATTTTGAGAACGTAAGTTTTCAGCACCGCACCAAGCTACACAACACAGATGAAGGGCTGTGCTTGTTTTAGCTTTTCTTGGAAAAAAATTATGTATTCTCAAGTTGCGAGAAATAGATGTATTTGATTACGGTTTATGAAAATCATTGATGAAATGTTTATTAATGAGATAACTTTTAATTTTGAATATTTTGTGGGATTTAAGAGTCAATAGTTGCTTGCAGTTGAATTTAGCTTTTAAGTCAAATTTTCAAGTGTGAGCCAAAACCAGACACATCCAAAGAGTATTGTAAGATATAATCAAAGCTTACTTGAACTGCGACACTGCCTTGAAGAATCCTCTGCAAACTCTGCAATCGTGGGAGCTGATCGCCCTCGGAACTCCGAGGTTCCTCGAGCTCGTTTCTTAGAGCAGCCGTCCGTGTTTCAATCATTCCAATCGCATTCTCAACAGGAGAGAACTCGAGGGACTCTGATTTTATCACCAAAAGCCTGTTCACTAGAGCTGGGAACGAGCCCTCCGTTTGAAGAACACTTCGCCTCTTCCACTGGTCTTCCAATCCACCCTGTGTTTTCCCATTTTTTGTGAACGGGGTGTCGAACAAAAACCGGTCAAATACTCTTGCCCTAACCCCACCAGTGGACAGAGAGAATATTCTCTCCCTACGACTCCCCAAATCTTCATCTTCCATCACTGGATCCACGGCTGTTATCTGAAGGTAACAGACTCCAGGCTGCAACTCATCTGCCTTGACTTGTCGAGAATCAGGGATTATGTGCAAAGTATGATTCCCGTCCATCCTAGACTCATAAATGTGACTGAGCTTCTCCATTATGTCACCTAATCTAACGTCTCGGGGCTCCCTGTATACGAATTCCTTTCTATCCAGCTTCCCAAATCTTTCTCCATAGAATCCCACCCTGTAGTAAGTGGCATCAGTGAATGGAATTGGGCTAGATTCCTGTTCAAGAATCGACTCATAGATGTTTGTGAGCATTGTATGACATTTTGCCAGCTGACCATAGGCCCTTCTGCTTTTGTAAACTGGAATCACAAGCTCCAGAATGCTTGCACAGAAATGGAAGAGCTCAGCTTGAGAGAAAAGCTTATTCGCACTCTGTAAGTATTTTACTGCAGAGTCAATTGTAAGCTTTGAAGCACCGTACCCCTCTACCTCAGCTGCAGATGCCTCCGAATTGATCTCGCAACTCACCATTGGACAAATTTTTCGAAGTGAAGTTATGTGGTCTTGGCTCCAAACACCATCCTTTCTAGCTACCAGAGCCTGCAAGAACAAAATTTACATAAATGCATGAGTTTGGAGCTAAGATGTAAAGAAGTAACAAGAGGTTTATCTTTTTTAAGACCACAGGGAGACAAAGAATCGACCTATTTTTTCTTTTTTCCTGATCAGATAAAGTATTAGATTTTTTGGTAACTATTAAAGAAACTGATATTGACTATACATGCAGAAAAGAATCAGTCCCCTTCCCTGATCGTTTTTAGTTTCTCGAGTGAAAGTCGGATTCCGACCTGTAACTTCGCTAATGAGGTTGACAAATAGAATACTAGTACCTTGAATAAAGGGATTGTTTAAACTTCATAGAGAACAAAAGTGCAATACCTATGTTTCAAGTTCTCACCTTAAACTTCTAGATAAAAAAGACAGGAAGGTAAAAGCATCAACTAAATGATGTTAGACCAATATTCACTGATAAACCTATTACCTGCATTACAACACCTTCATAGAGAACAGAAGTTTCTCACCTTAAACTTCTAGATAAAAAAGACAGGAAGGTAAAAGCATCAACTAAATGATGTTAGACCAATATCCACTGATAAACCTATTACCTGCATTACAACACCAGCAACAGCAACCGCACATTGCGCAGCTTCTGCTGAAGACTGCATTTCCTGATGGGCATCACACAAGTGTAGTAACCACATTATATGAAGGTCAGGAACTGGCGCAAACGCCATGGCTAGTTTATAGAAGCTCTCAGCAGCTGCATATCTATCCATAGTCATCGCAGGGCCCTGTTACAAAGCATATGTTGCTTATGTCAGCACAACAACACGTACTAATCAAGGTCACAGCCTAAACAGGCAAGAGATTTAAGCAACTTCTACAATAGACCTGTTTGATCCTAACCGATTGAGGAAAGCACTGCAGGAGACAGGCTAACAATATTTCATCAGCTCAGGGGGAAAGTATCTAATGACATTGTGGTAACTGTCACCACAAGTTTAAAGCAAGCATATAACCCCAGCACACCAATCCTAGTTGAAATTATTTTGAGGAACACATACCAAAAGGGCATGCTCCAGGCTAGCATCAAGGGCCAGAACCAGACTATCAGATAGGCGTTTGACCTCAGACCAGGACCAACGGTTCTCAGATAACCCCTCTGGTACAACCATTAGAGCACTTTCACAAAGCCCACATTCTTTTAGTCGGTCGTTGCTCTTAGATTCATCAGCCATTTCCTCTAGTGACTTCCGAAGACGCCTTGCTTCACCACTTTCTTCTAAGGTCCCATCAGACTTCATCTGTGTGACTTGTACATCAGACATGAGCTCCGATAATGTGATTGTCAGCATGACTCTCAGCCTTGCTGTTTGCATGAAGTAGTACAAAGAGCTCTGCAAGAGATGGAAGTCAAACATTCTTGTAATGAAATTGAAATTGCTTATGAAAGTGTGAACTTGAATTTCCAAAAGCCAGTGGAATTGCTTATAAAATACATACCCTAACAAGTATCTGCAGTCCTACAACAGCCCTCTTTCTGATGCTTTCATTTCTGAAAACTGCAAGCCGAAGAAGGTGAAAAGCAACTTGCTTTAAGAAGCGGTCGTTTTCCCTTGCCATTAATGTTTCCCCATGAAGATCGAAGACTGTGTTAAAGACAGGAAATAGTGCTTTCCAGAAGACCAGTGGCTGATTACGAGAGAAGAAGCTCATAAATATTGCTGAAAGACAATCAAGTTTCCCGTAATCAGTAGCTATAGTATGGGCTGCTGCCATTGTGGAGAACTTCTCAGCTGTTTCAAGAACCTGAAGACTCACAGCAGCACTCAGATTTTCTTCCCACAATTCCTGAAGCAAATGTAAAGCCGTCAGCTGCCTGTAATGATTGCCTAGTTGTAGGACAAGAAAAACATGATGTGCAGCATGTACCAAAAATGAATGGATAATTTTGTAGATCAAAAGAACCTACCAATTTTTGTCTCAATATGGGATGCAGAGATTCTCTGAGAGCTTGTGCTGAAGCACCTATTCTTGATGACTGTGCCTGAGCAAGAGCCTCTCTTAAGGAGTAAGGCTGGCTGGGAGAACTCAACTGAGAATTCACTCTCTGCCACAAGAATCCGTTATCAGGTGTCCCCTGAGGCTGCATTACAAAAATTCACAGTTCGCAGAAGGATTTACTGCTCAAGATCTATAGCATTAGACATTTAGACTAATTGCTTACTCTGTTAAGATAAAGAGCTATGCAGAAGCAGGGTGTACCACTCGAGACAATATCCAACATTAACGAACACCACGAACAGCAGTGGTGTGACGAAGTGAGAAGTCAGGAACCACAAATAGGAGAAATAATAGTTACCCTGACTTCCTGTCGTGATGCTTCAGATAAATAGTTGTTGATTGCAGGAGAAAGCCTTTCAGAGTATTTTGGGGAAGGAGGTGCATCTACTGTAGGGCTCCGGGAGCTGGAACCCAACAGCATGCCGTCAGAAGGTTTCCTGTGCTGTAAAGCCAGCAACCATAGTGATATAAGTATCTTCAACAAAGAAGCATATCGAATGGTAGTATATACAAACATGCAGGATGAAAGCTGAGGATAGTGAGAGACCGGTCCTCAAGAAATAGAAGCTGTGTCCAAAAGTCCCACTTCAAACCCAATGGTACAGTAGACAAATCTGACTTGAACTGGAAGCCTATTCTAAGGATAATTCGCAGGAGTTATTCGAGCTATTGCAATATCCGTAAATGTGTTAGTCAATACCCATCAACAGCATCAATAGCCAGCTTTCCTATGGTAAAGCCATCACTTATATGTGTGTGGGTGAGCTCACCGGGCATTATCTGTATCTGAACTACTAAATATTTACATCTAAAGCTAGTCCCCAAAAATACAAAAGTTCAATCACTTCAACTTTACTTCGTACTCGAAACTGATAAACACAATCTGGACAAAACATTATGTCACTTGGATAGCATACCTCAAAAAGTAGAAGGCTTTCCTCCATTAGCTTGAAGAATAGTCTAGTTCGTGCAATGCTTTGCTGCCATGCCTTGACAAGTGATGTGTCATCCAGATTTCGAACAATTTGCAAGATGACAATTAGAACTTCGCGCTTCTCAATAGAACTAAGGTTATAGAAAACAGGCATCTCGTCCAGGATCTGCAAAACATCGATGATACGTTATCAGAACAAGAACTAGTAAGGGCACTCTTTGAGCCAAGTGTCAGTAACAACAGAAAAAATTTAACAATCTGGGCTTCCTATCTAATAGCGACGAAACTGTTTCAAAATTCCAGATTTTTTGTTCAATTTGGATCCATAATTCATAAAGAAGGCAAATTATACAGTTTATAGTTGGTCTTCTCAAGCGCTGCCTGTCATGCATATGATTCCATTTGGTCACTTAGTCTCAAACAAATAAGAGACGCTGAAAACTATACTCAATCAATGCCACAGGGAAGGATCCAGTCACTGCACTCATTTTGTGAGAGCATTCCTGATCTCGACCAAGTTTTCATGTACATAGGGAACATGCATAAAAGGGCAATATCTTCCAGAAGCTACAGTGCATATTCTGGTGCGAGTGTGAGATGTTAACCGCAAAAACATTTTTGTAGAGAACCCTTCTTAGAAGCTTTATCAAGAGTCAGCTGCAAACCAGGCTGAAAGTAAATCTGAAATATATGGTAAATTGTTGGGTGGATATGTTCTGTTTGATGTTCAGCAATGTAACCGCAAAAAATTAGGAGTTCTTGTCAGCCATTTTTTTTCTTCACCAATGTTAGCAGGTTATTAACGTCTTGGATGAGGCAATTGCAAATACAAGATCTTGGTCACCGCATGTTTCTGTCAATTTACACTAAGATTATTGTGTGAAAGTAAAAAGTAAAAACTGATATCAACAGTAAACAATTATCTTAAAGGCGTGGAAGCAAGGATAAACATGACAAATGCTAATACTAAAATGGGTAGCTGGCGCTGGTTGATCCTAAACACTACTAATGTACACTAAAAAAATTCATGTTTGTCAGTACTGAAGAGTTAGAGCAAGGACATGATAACATGGAACTCATAGACAATTTCTACTACAAACATAACTCAAAAAGGTACTCATAACAAAAAAAGATTAAGGAACTCATAACAAAATTAGTGTAGCAGGCTTGGCTAGCACTAGGTCTTGGATTCGATGTCAACATCTAGCATATTTCATAATAATCATAACAATAATAACTGTGCATGCTACATTAATCCCCATAAATTCGGCCACCCAAATATGAGAACATCTACCCTGGGAAACTGAGAAAGGGCAGAAATGGATCTCAATTACACACAGGGTTTAGCATGGCACGTTTAATGTTACCTGGCCAATCAAAGGGAAATAGAGCTGAGCAATGTATAGTTTATCCTCGGGCTTCTGATACCGAGCATCAAACTCGTGCTTGCACAAAAGGACTACCAAGATTCTAGCCGCCTGCAAACACCAGGAAACTATTTTGTGAAGACAATAACGCACAAGTAGAATTAATATCATATCATATATTATTACTTCACCAGGATTTGCAACTTCAAGGTCTAAACAAGAAAGATAAAATTAAGGGCAATGTCTATTTTTTACCCAAACCTTTTTCAGATTCTTTTATTTTAACCAAACCTATTGAATTCCTAAAAATTATCCAAACGTTAACTCTCCGTCAACTTTTCTGTTAGTAATGCTGACTAAGTATGACCATAATGAGTTGACTTCCTACGTGGCGGTCAGAATACCATCATTTACTATTTTTAATAAAAAGATTATAAAAAAACAAAACAAAATCCCACCCTCACGTGGACGAAATAAGTAACGGTAACAGAATGAATGCCCAAACTTTGATAAATTATAATACGTTTGGATAATAAATAGAATTTCTATAGGTTTGGTTAAAATAAAAGAATCTGAAAAAGGTTTGGGTAAAAAATAGACATTGCCCTAAAATTAAACTCGCATTAAAGCCTAAAGAATGGTTCCAGCGCCTCACCTTAGATCGTTGGGACAGATCCTCATGATCCCAAGTCAGGAAAATCTCTTGTATAAGAATTGAAGAAAGGTAATTTCTGCAAAAGCCAGAAGACGACCATCATAACAGCATATCAAATAATACATTATTGTACCATGAATAATTTCCCTCGATTCCTACAAAGATTTCCTATTTGTGACATATTAACTTGGATAAAATAATAGATCTTTTCCTTTTACCTATAGCAGTCATTACATCCTTTTCTACTTTGTACTCAAAAGTTTGACTAATCATAACCGAGTCATGACATGCTGCACTTCGAACATCAAACAGAAGAATGCTTTGGAAAGGAAGTCAACAAGGCAAAGGAAACAACATTGATTATTCTTTTCTGTTCTCTTTCTGCCCCACATTTTGCTTTCCGGAAACAAAGAGACAACTATGCCTAGCTGAAAACTCAAGACACCTGAGATATCACATGAACGCAGATAGAAATTGATTTACATCATACCTGTCCGTAGGGTCTCTCCCGGGCATTTCAACAAAAAGGTCATGATCGCATATGATTTGCAAAAACGTAAGCTTGCAATCATGAAGCACAGATTGACATACACCAGAAAATTTGTCCAGATACAATGACACCTGCAGCAAATTAGAACTATTCAGGTGTATTCATGCCAATCAAAGTGGAAATTCATGTGCCTTGAATCATGCAAGTCAACAGTGTTAACTTAAACATCACTGCACAGAAAAAGAAAATCAACAGACACCATTTGTCTCTTCAAATCATTTCACAAAGCAATTTTCATGAGTAAATTAAAGCCGTCTTTCAAAAGGAGATGACATTTTTTCTTAGTACACTAGCTCTTCTAGGCAAAACGACTGAACAGTTTACGATGAAGGAGACCCAGTAACTTTACTTATACTCCGTGCAAATGTCAGGATATGTAGGGACAAACCTAGCTTCAGGATATTCAAGCACAATTATGGCTCTGAACTCATGGGTGATGTGGCGTGAGCTTGATAATGGGATAGTCTCATAAGAGGAAGCACAGTACTTTTCTTGGAATTTTATGGGGCAATGTGAGAGTTCTAAAAGGGAAAGCCTACTCTATGAGAAAAAAAAAGTAGGGAAAGTACTTCTACAATGAAGAATTCTTCAGCTTGCAAGTGCAAAACCCAAAAAAACTAAGCCACACATTCAAAATTTAATATTCATCCTAAAGGAGGAAAAGGCTTGAGTTCAATTGGTCCATACAATCTGGTTGACTAGAACTTGCATTGGTAAAAAGAGGGTAGACTTGTATCATATAACTAATCCAAGTGCTCTATGTAAAGATTTGGTATGATGACGAGAGAAACATATAACTAATCCTTGTGCTCTATGTAAAGATTTAGTATCAAGACAAGTTAAACGTACCAACTCAAAAACCTGGCGAGGTTCAATGATGGACAAAAGGTCATAGCAGAAAAAGGCCAAACTGCTATTCAGCCTTTTCGCCAAGCTTAAACCCTTTTTGCAACGCTCATGCACTTCTGTGAGGAGGCAATCATACAACTGCATCACACATCTGAAAACGCCTTCTTTCAGTTGCATGGGAGGAATGTCTTCATCTATAGCAAAAATGTTATAAAACAAATCAATTAATGACCTATCATTCCATCAGATATATCCCCTCATGGCATAAAAGCTATAGAAAACATACCCAATGGAAGATTGTGGTAGAAAAGACGAGTTTGCTCGAAGGCCAGGGACTTGACAACTAACTCAAGAAAAAACCAAGCCATTGCCAGAACATCATCATACACTGGCCCAACACGATAACCTTTAGCCTGCAAAAATGATGCAAATTTGAGAAACCAAAAAAAGGGAGATGCCAGTATAAGCACAAATTACATGCAAAAGAAAATGGAAATGGAAGAACAGGGCTGCTCAGCCATATGCTTATATTAGATAGACAGGTTTACAATAATCTGTAGACGGTAATCGAAGTATAATCTATAAAACCCAAAAGACAAACCATCTCCAAGTTTTCCCCTTGCACCACTAAGAATAACTTAAAGCAAGAACTATAGTCAATTAGTCATAACAATAATCATAATCTTTCAACACATTAGCCTCAACAAAACATCTTCCAAAAGAAATGTCCCCAGGAAAACCATTATAGTACAACACCACATGATATATGTAAGAACACTACTTGGGTTTAAGAAATACAATGTATAACTCGTTTTCTTCAAATTTTAAGTAAGATGCACGAATGTATAGCCAGTATAATACTCAAAAGATTACCCAAAAAAAAAAGTATAATACTCAAAACAGGATACAATAATAAATTAATAACGAGTATAAATCCACAATAATCATGACCATATACCACCAGCAGATAACAGAACAGTGAAGCTCTCACCTTACTACGAGCCAAGCTTCCCCATACAGTGGATAGACCAGGATAAACTGGTGCTTGACGTCCACCAAAGTCATCAAAAGCATAATCAACATAGTTGACAAGGAAGCGGTTTCTTTCGCCATCATCGACTGATTCCTGCTGGACTCTGGAAAATCAAATTCAAATTGTGATCAGCGGCTAAATCAGAAACCCGGTATAATCATTAATATGGCCAGCCATACGGCCTGTTTGATAATTGAAAATAGTAAAGAGGCGCCAAAATGCTTCAACTCGCTCTAGTGCATTCCAGCTACCAAAGAAAAGACGAATGTATGTTTAGAACCAATGAACTCTAAGGACCATTACCTAGTCAAAATGTTGACCATAGCTCGGAAGGCTGCAACCTGAAAAGGGAAGCAGGAAAGGACAGATGAAACAACTCAATGTGGCAATCATGACCAGAATTTCAAGGGCATTGGAAATTATACCAAAATTAGAAGGTTAAATCATAGATGCATCATCTACCTGGAGAGTTTCTCCGCCACTGCCTATGAGATGTAGAAGCATATTCAGGATAGGATGAAGAAACTGAAGCAAAGCAGTGGAATCAACATTCTTCAAACTGTTAATGGCCTGCACCATCATACAGAAATGGAGTCAAGCCTGAACTTGGCTGTCAAATCATGTATCTGGTGTAGATACACTATTTCAAGGCTAAGCTGATTAGAACAAATCCAAAATGAAAACGAGAATGATGCTTTTAAAAATGGATTTGTAGCAAACAGCTTCCAGTTTCTTCAGCTGCTTCAGCCATTTTTTCCACTTACTCCCTCCCACTTCATAATCCCTTTCGTTGAGAATGACTTCTCATAGAAGTCTTTATTTTAGTTTATATTCTTGATATAAATATTAGGTTGCTTATTATGGTCCCAGAGAGTACAGACAAACAGCTAGGAACTTAAAGTTAAGGAAGAACCTTAAGAATAAAAATAAATCACTCAAAACAGCCAATGGAACGGGATTACAATGTAGGGCCGTGAGTCAACTCCAGACTCCATGCGTGACTAAGATATAACATCACACCCTGGCTTCCAGGAGTGCTTTGAATGGAAGTTACAGGCATCATGTGGACTGATAGGTAGCAGGGAGGACGAGATCAAGAGACTCTTGGCTGAGAATTTTCAGAACATACCTCCAGAAGTTCTGATCCCCAAGGAGGACTTGTTCGAAGAGTGTGCCGATCATACTCCAGGAAAAAATCTCTGATTCGCTCATTAAAGGGGTATAAAGACGAACAAAGCCGTAAACGCAGTCTGAAGACATTTTTCCCATCTTCCAAATACTCCAGCCTCTCCTAACATAGTAGAAGAAATATGAAAATACATTCACTTTTTTCAGCTGCACGGAAACTATCATATGAAGGGTACAAGTAAGAAATTGAGTCAGTACCAATCGATGTACAGCCGCCAGTAAAATAAGGACAGTGTTAACAGTTACCAGCATACCTTTCCCAAATCTTGAAGATAATGTGGAACCAACTCTCTCATTATTGGTAATGAAATTTCGGATCGCAACCTGAGTAAAACAGAATACATTTTAGTTTGTCAAAAATAATCAATGTGACAGAAAAACATTTCAAAGCCACATTTTCCCCATCTTAACAGAATACTGAAGAAAATGGTTCCACGGAACACCAGGAAAGATGGATCTGATATGGAGGCAATAGCCACTCACTGAGCATGTGTTGACAAAGGAAGCACAGCATATCCAATTACCACCTGTACAGAAATCAAACAGAGTTTAAGTCCAAAAGGTTAACCGAACATAAGTCATTACCGGCATACAATAAGAGCATCGTGATTAAGACAAAAAGAAGTAAAGTCCACAAGGACTGCAGATAACAACGTAAAGTAATGAACAGTGTATAGTTTTCACATCCATGGAAGCATGAGAAGTTAGCTTCACGAAGGTGCCTGGATCTCTGACATATGTTTCAGGAATAAACACTGTATATCTCAACTAGACGGTCAGCTATTATTTGATAAAGGATTCCAAGCACATTTACGCACAGAATGTGAAGTAACAGACAATCCGGGGGATAATCCATTCCATGGCACAACTCATGGAACTTGGCCAAGGAAACAAGGTTCAAAGAACACCCGACATTTCATTAAGAACTTTTTCAGATGAGAAATTTTAGCTATCAAGAGAAAGAATGCTATTCAATAAAATATCAGAACCGATTGCTTGCCTCTTAGCCTTCAAGAGAAAAGAATAATCAACGGCATCAAGTCAGAACAATTTCCTGTATTATAACCGTTGCTAAGGTTTCTTGACGAGTTGCAGACTTGTAGTACATACGGAACAAGAGCTAGATTCCACTAGGTGTACAGAGGCTAGGAGACTCCCTTTAACAGAAAGAAAACATACACATAGATGATAGATCTTACCGGCTTTGGAACTTCTAACTTTGTTTGAAGATCAACATGGAAGAATGTGAATAAGAGGTGATGCAAGGGAGTCCAGATGGCAGGCAGGGAAAGTTTTAATTCATCATGGTAAGAGGCCACTCTGGTGCCGACAGCAATCTGTGTGTGGACCCACTTCTGTGGTCCTGCTCCCGTCTCCCTTGGATGCATTGCCTGATAATAAGAGTAGATGTCAAGTAAGCAGATGATATGAATTCAATGAACCAAGCCTGTACGATATCCACAACAGAGTACCTCAAGAGGTGGTCTACGAACATCCAAATCATCTTTCCTAAGTTCGACCCGTACAAACAAGTTCCTCTTGCGACTCAGACTCACTGTCAGAGGATAAACATACAGACAATGGAAAAGCTGCAAGAAAGGCTCATTTCGCATTGTCGTCCGGAAGTCAAAAGCTTGGAACTGCATACCAACCATAAATAAAGTTAGGATGAACCCTGAATACAGAGATGAAGAATCTTACAGTAAAAGTGACAGCAACTATTCAACAGACAATCTAACTGGGATCTGTCTTTATTGACAACAGAAATATATTATCACAAATGCAATCAAGAAAATTCCTCAAAGTCAGAAAGTCACAGAAGCAAACTCTGTAACAAGGGCTTCTTCCTTGCATTTCCTAGGCATTGGAAAAGAAACACGCAATTATCTACTTACATCACTAGCATTTAATTCCGAACTTGGGTAAGCATTTGATCCATTTCCAGAAACTTCCTTCCCGTCGTGCACATTCCCCTTCTGGCTGCCACTTCGAAGCCCAACAGAACTATTACCAGGAAATCTGGACAAAACAGAGTCAGGACCCCGGTCCCCCATATCAATGGAATCATTTGCCAAACTTCCACTTTCAGATAGATTTTCAACGTCAGAATAGCCCAACTGGTGTTTCTCAATTTCCAGCCGCAATACACCTTTGACAGGTTTATGAACCTTGCGCTTAGGATCCTGTATGCATTTTCAAAAGTAATTGCTTAAGCAAATAACCAATTAAATTTCACATCGACAATGGACAAGGACATCAAAATAAAATCTGAATAGAACAAAAGATGGTAATGGCATGTCAATTTACTAAGTCCGCAAATAGAATTTTCAGCAAAATCCAAGAAACAAGGGATGTATTTAGTTTCACCAAGGCGACAAGCAATTTGTATGTCAAGCATCTGAACCAGTTTGTTACACATCCTTAAATAATGATATCCCACGAAATAAAGGACATTGCAAGCAAACTAGCAGAAGCACAATGAAAAGACAGTGGATGGTACAAGACATGAATCCATCAGAAAAGTTGGTTATGCATCCATGTCCCTCACCTGGAGTGAGTCCTCTGTATAGCTCTCTTTAACTTTATTCAAATTTGAAATTTCAACAACAACAGAGCTTCCACTAGAATAACCAGACTTCCCATCTAGCATGACTTTCGCAATAGGCTCAAATGCACCTTCGTGAGAAGCTGATCCAGAAACACTTTGCGTGAGTGGGCTACTCGGAGAAGCAGGCCCTCCAGAAGTTGCACCACTACTGCTATCAAATAGTGGAACGATCGCCCATGCAAAGGACTCTCTGTATGGCATAATCCGCGACCATACCTGCAACTTTTGCTTCTCTCTCTCACTCAGATGAACCTGTTTAAAGAAAGAAATTGATAATATAAAGGCGGTGAATTCAAAGTTTATAGTTGTTAAGAACTAGTTGCTAGCAATAAGATTGAGTGAAATAATAAGTACAAACCAAAAATAGCAAAAGTAGCTTCCTGGATGGCTTGTTAAAACAAGAGGGAAGTGAGGGGTAGAACGTATAAACACAATCAAGTCATGTTCAGATGCCTGCATGGACTTCTATATAAAATAGCCAACCCATACGACAGAAATTATCTAGGAGATAATAACCAAGATGTTAATCAGCTTTCAGCTTGGTCCTACCACAATATCCATGGCAAAGTGGGTATCAATGTTCACAAAAATTAGCATAAGCAATAGGATTTTCACTATGCATAACCAGTATCCAGTAATGACTAACTCATACAACTGACAGATTTAGTTTACAACAGAAGCTACAGAAATAGCACGAAAACAAATGTGTTACAAGATTTTCTGAACATACAGGCTCTTTTCGTGAATAGACAGAAGGAGTAACACCCCCTTCTTCTGTGGCAGGCTTCTCAAGCTGGACAAGCAGGCAAACTGAAGCTGATGGGGCATCCAAATAAAAAATTCCACGGCGTTCAGGAGTATTCTGTTCCTGTGAGCAGCAGAACCAAACTATTAATTGCATCATAGTCATCCCAAGAGAACGAACAGCAAAAGAAGTAAAACGGCTGTGTCTTGCTTCAATACAGCAACCAATAGAGAATAATTACACAGGAAGCCCTTCCGTCTTAATACTTACATCTTGCATGTCAGTGGGTACAACATGAAAATAGAAGTCCTCCGACAACTTCTCTCTTCTCTCCTTATTATAGAGGCATAGTGTACCATAAAATGGCTCTGTTTGAGAGCAAGAAAAAAAGAATTATACAAATTAAAACAATGAAGCAAAAAGGAACTGGCTCTCTTTTTTTCTAACAGCGATGCTTAACTAAATTAAGATCTAAGGGCTACAGGTTCTCCCGAAAACAAAAATATAAATTAACAAAATCATAATGGAACTCTTCTCTTAGATTGCTTGCATCAATGTAAGAAACTTAACTGGAAACAAACACACCACACAACTGGAAGTAAAACATGAATACAATTAAGAAAATGAAGAAGTAAATCGTCTTAGCAACAACTAGCAGCATGCTGAGAACTGACCCACTAATCCGGCTTGAAATGCTAGGGACAGTACTTTCACAGAGATCTTCAGGCCACTGAAATAAACATAGTAACACACAAAATCATTACTCTAACAAAAAGGAAAGGTCGATATGAGGAGAAATAGTATATTTACCAACTTTCAACCTGCCATTGAGAGTCGTTGGACTTTCCGGAATCCTTTGGCCAAATATCATGGACCTCTCATTTTCCCAATCAAAAGCTGGTTCATAAGCCGGTAGAGGAGATAGACCAAGGTGCTGCAATCATGTTCTAGTCTTAGAAGGGAGGTAAGTGAAAAAATACTCAAAACTAATGCTAGAGAGAAAGGGAAATGAAAACTTGTGGAAAATCTGTTCAGCCATCAGGCTTTATATGAAGAAATGGACATCCTAGCAATGGGAGTGGGGTAAAGGGAACAAAACCTTGGTTACATGGAACTGTGATCGGTCAGAAAATGTGGGCTCCATCATTTGCCTCCCTGAAGTGCTTGGGGTTTCATCATCAGTAAACTCATCAACCTTTGCCTGTCTTGAGTTTGCCAGGTGCAGTTCTGCCAGAAAAGCGCATGACATCATATTAAGATCAATCATTATAGTCTAGCAACAGGATCGGTTACAATATAATACCAGTAGTCTAGCCTTGAAGTTATACTGGCAAGCTCAAGATCTTAAAGTTAATCACGCATATTTATGATTCCTACAGCAGAGATTCTTTTTCGGCACAAACAAATCTAGATGAGTATGAACTTTGCAAGAAAGAGAAACAACAACGACCAAAAGGATCTGTAAACAGAAACTTTATTACAGATTTCTAATGGCCTGTCAAGGACTAAGCCTCCTAATAGTATCCTTGAAAAATATGAAATACATAGGTTTAAGTAAACGTCAAAGGAAAATTTCCCCCATTTAGGCGAAGAGTTGCAACTTTGCACTTTTAACATGCCACTGAATTTTATTTTCTTATGATTGGAGAGACTGCCGTAGTAATAACTCAGCACTTTCTAAAATGAAAATGCCAAAGAACCTGTTTTCCAACAAAAACATTCAATAGAACCTGATGGCATCAAATTTGCACATTACATAATGGCAAACCCCATCTTGCAAACCATTAACAATTATTAATCAAACCCATCAGCTGAAAGACTACATTTGGAAAGTACTCTAGTAACATCTTGCTTCATAGAAGCATCTCAAGGGGAATAGTTACCATTACAGGTGCAAATTCGCATTTTAGCAAATTCACTCTTCCTTAAAAACTTCTCAAGGGGGATAGTTACCATTGCAGGTGCAAATTCAAATGAATTCCCTCCAACGTAAACTGGATTAATAAACGCAACAAAGATCCTTCTCCAAGATTACCAGTAATACATTCTTCTCTGAAAGCCCTCTAATATACATTACTATTAGAGGTGGCAATTTCAATCCAATCCACCAATCTAATCCATTAATCCATTAAAAATATCCACCTAATTCAATCCATTTAAATCCAATCCATTTGATCCAAATCCAATTGGATTGGTGGATTCATGGATTGGATCCATGGATCATTGGCAAATTATAGTTTAGTACCTATAATTTTTATTTTTTACATTTTGGTACCTAAAATTTTATTTTTTATACAAAAAATATCATTGGAAAATTACGTTTTGGTACCTAAAATTTTTCATTGTGACATTTTAGTACCTAAACTTTTTACATTTTACATATTGGTCCTTGGTTGAGGATGTCATTTGGATTTATGGATAATCCACCAATCCACTTGATCCAATCCATTAGATCCAATCCGTTTGATCCATGGATCCACCAATCTAATCCACCAATCCACCAATCCAATCCATTTGCCACCTCTAATTACTATAGTTGGTGAATGTAGTTGGATTGGTATATCAAGGCTCTAAAAAAAATCCCAGCTCTCAGAGAAAATATGAAAAAGAAAAAAAGGGAAACACATATTTCCATAGAAGTTCACTGGGAATAATTGCAATCATTAATTCATTGGTTTGCACCTGAAGCATCATAATAGGAATCTAGCTGAAGCCTTGTGGTAATTCAAGCCAACAAGAACTAATATTCCCTATCCAGACAAACAAAAACATGGGAAAACCTAGTCGTGTTCCTACCAAAACATTCCATGGAAAATGAAGCTGACAGGCCTGGAATGTACACTGTACTAGAGCTGCTAATTCCTCATAAATTTCCTGCCGGATACCCATGACAATTGACAACTAATCATAAACAGAAAATTTTGGGCAATAGTTTCTATGAGTATCAAAAATGGTCAAGTTGATGTTTCATGCCTACAAAGAAAACTAATGTTGCACAAATTGCTTACAAAGGCCTATATGATTGCAGAGATTTGTTCAAACTCTGAAGTGCAATCCAGAAACAGCAGTAATGTCAAACGAAAGGCTCTAGCAACTCTTGCTCACACTTACCAGTCTCAATATCAGTATCAGGGCCTTCAAAAATTTGACTTTGAAAAGATACAGGGGCAACGCTTTCGTAGTGTCCATACTTGTGCTCATCCTTCACCCAGTCAGTCCTATAGCATTGAACCAGTTCATTAAGATGCGGCCACTGCTCCAGGTTGTCGTCGAGCTGGAATACAAAAAGGTGAACGTAGATGTCAGGCATTCCGTATCGAAATCGAGTGAGCAATCAACCATAGTCCAATAAGCATAACCCAAGATTTAAGCACACCTATTCGAACTAGAAGCATAACTTACAGTTAGACTCATTCAACTGAAACTGTAACTAGCAAATTTCACAACGGGAAAGGAAATGCCTACAACATCATTCAATAGCAAAGGTGAAGAATTTTTTGTTGTTATTGGAAATGACTAATACCAGTGGGTTTAGTCCAAATTTAACAAAATCCATGATGCTTTTTCATATTGAAAAATTGTTATTGTTGCCAGAACATGAAAGATTCGCAAGGACTTACCAGGGGCTCCATTCTGAGATGAGCAAGAGACTGACGAGGTATTCGACGGAAACGCTGCCCGCCATTGTTGTTACTGTAACTATCCATCTCCACCCAGAAATGCCCCCCCAAGGGGAACAACCACCCTCTTCGAGCTACAAACACACAAAAGCGAAAAAAGAGCTGAATTGATCTGTTTGATGCATTTCGCTACAGCAAAGTCTTTCTGCAAAGGTGCATTCCCTCCCAGATCTAGAACGCAGGGCAGAGCAAAATGGCGCGGCCGGCGAGAGGAGGGGGAGTGAGTTTCAATGAATAACAAAATGCATTACCTGAGAACGGTGAAGGAAGTCAGGAACCAACCAATTCAACGATGGAGAAAGGAAGTCCTTGGGGGTAAATGAAACAACAACATTTCTTTCTTCTGGGAAACCAGAGGGAAGTGAAGCTGAAGAAGCAACAACCCTAGAGATTTTTAGAGAGAGGAGCTTCTCCAAAGCGTGCCCGAAAAAACCAAGTCAAAATGAGTCGCACTCAACTCAACGTAATCAAATTCCAACTCAGCTCCCCAACTCGACGATTGACAGAGATGAGACTTGAGAGGGAACGGAGCGAGGACTCAACCACTCTCAACAAACGGCTCCCGCGGTTAAAATGTTAGTTTCTTTCCCGTTCTCAGTTAAGAGTTACCGGCTCAGCACAACTCCAAGACTCCTAGGGCTGGCTATTTGGACCGGGACCGGATGAAAAACCGGAAACCGGACCGTATAACCCGGACAGAGACCGGACCGGGACCGGATAGTAAACAATCCAATCCAATCTTTGGGCTTAGATTTGAGGTAAAAAACCGGATAAAGACCGGATAAGAGAGCTCAACACCCAAAACTTAAGGGTAATTTGCATAAACGGTCACAAGCCTTTGCACTTAGTACAAAACTTAACCAACTCCTCACCCTTTTAGGCCTTAGGCCACTCAAATTCCCACAATCTCAATATAAAATCAAGACCGAATTGGGACCGGACCGGGTCAAAACCGGACCGGATCAAGACCGGACTGTATCCAATCCAATCTTCGGTCCTTATATTTTCAAAAAAACCGGACTGGACCGGATCAATTTGGGCCAATTTAACCGGACCGGACCGTATAGCCACCCCTAAAGACTCCAACCATGGTATTAAAAATGGGTATTAGACTATTAGGTATTATGGAATTTGGAGGTTGGGATTTGATGCGTTTAATTAATCAATTTATGTATATTGTTATAAAAAAATTTGTATAATTTAATTTGATGTATTGATTAAATGTATGGATTTGGAAAATACCTTATTTAGATTGTGTTTTTGTTATAAAGAAAAGTTGAGTAGACAATCGCATGTTAACAATCTCGCCTTCTGGTAAACATTGATAATCACTCATTTTGAGTGATTGTAGATGAGCCAATAAAAAGGTAATACATGTATCTATTTCAAATTTAACCAAAAAATGAGTTAATATTTTATTAAAAAAAGATTTAATCTTGACATTATATGTATTGGCTAAATGCATCACTTGAAATCTCAACCTCCACACGATGCATTAAAATTAGGGATAACACGGATTGAGGCAGGGTGATTACCAAGTATCCTACTTTAACTAGTTCGGGTTTTAGTTATATTCTTATTCATATAAAATTTGGGAAGTAAATTGAAACTATATTCACTAAATAGAGTTCGAGTATCAGTGAATATCCACAAAGAATCATTTTTCTTTATCTTTTCAACTATCATGTTATTAATCACCAATATATCAACATTCCAAAGTGAAAATTTATAAATGACAAATCACTAATACTAAGAGAAATCATAAAAAAGCTAGTTCATGAGAGGCTACAAATATACTAGAATTACTAAATATGTCAAAATAAAAAATGACAATTTATACAAAATACTGTATATGCATGTATAAACGATCAGATTTAGGTTGGATTGGATCTACCTAATCTATCTGAATTCAGACATGTATCTATAATTATGGGTATTCTGTCTTTCGTTAAAAATGCAGAAAAGGGGTATTACCTTTTTGGAGGCAAGTTCTTCCGAAAAAAATCTCAAAATACACATGTTTTAAAAAAAAATCCTGAAATACACACGTTATAAAAAAATTCTCAAAATACACATGTTTGGGCATCACCGTTGTTGTCAACCGCAGTGAATGCATCACCGCGGTTGACGGCCGCGGTGAATGCCTAAAGTAACACTGAAACTTCAAACAAACGTAACTTTGCGCTCGGTTATCTGATTATTGCGAAAACAAAATTTTATTCCACATAACTTTTCAAGATCTTTCAATCTACAACATAGCCTTCATCTAAAAAAAATTCATTTGCTACCCCGAACGAGCAATATTTCAATTTTGACAAACTTTGGAAGACCATAACTTTATGCTCCACAATCCGAATGTCATGAAACTTTTTTTTATTTTGCATAACTTTTGAAGTACTAAAACTTTGATTATAACCATAATTTTGGAAAGTATGTGGATTTGTGAAAAGTAAAGGCAAAGTTATTCCCAAAATCCCGTATACCCAAAATCGAAAAATTGCTCGTTCGGGTAACAAACGACATTTTTTTGAGATGAAGACTTGTTTCAAATTGAAAGATCTTGAAAAGTTATGTGGAATCAAAAAACATTTCGCTACAATCGGATAACCGAGCGCAAAGTTACGTTTGTTTGAAGTTTCAGTGTTAGGTCAGGCATTCACTGCGGTTGACAACAGCGGTGATGCCCAAACATGTGTATTTTGGGAAATTTTTTTATAACGTATATATTTTGGGAATTTTTTTAAAAAACTTGTGTATTTTGGAATTTCATCCGAGATCTTCCCACCTAATTTTACACTTTTGAATTTTAGCTCGTGATGCGAGTCCCTCACTCCTGTTACTCATTTACAAAATGAGCCATTTGCTCAAATGTAAACATTTGAGAAATATAGATTTTTGCGAATGTAGACATTTGCAACCAACAGAACTTGTGATTATGAGTCATGTATAATACATTTCTAATTTTAAATTAATATTTTTATGTTAAATTTCTATGTAAAAGGTAAAGACTCAAGAAGTCTCACATTTAGGCTAATTACGACTAATTCTTAAGCCGGCAGCTCCAATGACACGAAGAGTTAGAGTCGCGAGAAAATTATGAAGACCATAAGATGGATGACTCTCCTTGCCGCTTGTGAGATTTGGTGAAAACAAAAAAATGGTGATAGATGAAAGAATGATAAGAAAAATAAGTAATAGATATGCAAGGATATAATTGAAAAGATTCATAGTCCATAGATATGAGGCATTTGGAAATGACTCAATAGAGTCATTTGAGACTTTCGTATGAGTCAAATGGCTCGTGCATGTTTTTGTCAGCAAACGAGCCAAATGACATAAGTTGTTTATTTTGTCTCAACTTGACCCTCCCTACGTAAAAGAACTCTTCACGTATTTATAGAGAAAAGTTAACACCATCTCTTCACCCTCTTTAGAGAAATTTGCATCTATATCTGCATCCCATAATGTCCACTTCTCATTTGGATCACTGCACATTAGGGATTGGAATTTGAACCCGTCTCGCCGGGTATTACCCGACCCGCACTAGCGTGGGGCTGGACATGGGTATCTACTTCCAACCCGCCCTAACCCCCCCCCCGGTTCTTGACCCATTTTTGCTCGATTTCTTGCAATTTATTCATATTTTTTCTATTTTCACTTTTCTTCAACTTGTTAGACTTGATCTTTCAATTAAGTAGACTCAATTACCTATTATATTATCATTAATTTTCATTCATAAAGTGTCTTTCCCGTTATTTTATCGTAAAAAAATAATATTTTGCGTGCATTTTTTTCAAATAACATCTAAAAATGGGTCGACTCGCCCCGTACCCCTGCGGGTATTACCCACCCCGACCCGTAGTAGCGTGGGGCGCTGCATGAGTATTGAGGTACCCGCCCCGCCCCATTGTCATCACTACCGCTCATTGACATTGTAACTACTCTCAAACTAAGTTCTCCACTTTGTATAAGGATATTCTTCCAAGTAGCCATCTTCATGGGCTAATATTGCTAGATACTTGGATGCATGCATCATCAATCGCCCAAGTTAAACAAACAAAAGTAGAAAAGTAGCATACACCTAAGAGTGGGTAGTTGGCCAATAAGTGTCGCATTGATGTCTCTAGATAGCTATATCCTTTCAGAGTTAAATAGCCTCAACATTTACAATGTGATCACCGCAAAATTTGCCGTAGAAGTACCAAAAACCAAAGTACGAAAAATGACACCCTCCCAAACTATCGGCATGACCAAAGTGTGTACCCAATAGTTTAATTACTTACCACACAACCTCTTTTGTGCATGTGCCATCAACGATAGATTTGCATGCATGTTGTATACTACACACACAACTTAATAATTTGTCAATGTGAAATCATGCAAACAGCAAGCACACAAACTCTCTCTCCATATATATAACTCTTCGAAGGCTCTATCAATAAACCCTTATTATCCATCCACTCATCCTATATGCCCCCCTCCATTTTTATTTCCCTATATAGTGCACTAACCGTGTGACAGCATTGGTATCTCCCAAGTATAAATACCACCACCTACTCCACTTTGCCTTTTCTTGAAATGGTTGCAGCTAGCTAGTCACCCTTCTTTTTCTCCTCAACCATCTCTCTCAACATTCATGCTCAAACTTACCACTTCCTTTTAGCTAAGGATTATAATAAGATTGAGTAGTAGTGATGTCACGGTCTTCAGATGTGGTGAGTTGTTGTACGAGGAAAAGGAAGAGAAGTGGTGGTGGTGGTGGAGAGAGGGTTTTTCGGTTCAAGAGTTTCGGGCAAAAGGGTTACCCGATTGAGTTTGATGGATCGTTTAGGGAGAATGTGGAAGCACTGGTGGAGGTTGGAAATGCGGAGAGCGTTTTGTGTAGTAACATTAATGGGGTTGGGACGATGATGAGGAGTTGGTCGTTTCAGCTTGAAGTCAATCGTCACCCTCCGTCCCATTTGTTCTTGTTCGTCTTAGAAGAGTTGATTGAGAAGTTGGTTGACCGGCATTGCAAGTATTGCCAATACACAGGTAAATTTATCAACTGAATACTGCTAGCTTAGATATTTGTCATTACAAAGGGGAAAAAAAACCTTTTACCATAAATTTGTTTTGTCAAAATTAATACCACCATTCACTAAAAATACTTTTTTGGCAATCATTTAACACTTTTCGCCAAAGATGCTACCTTTATGTTTATCTAGTTTGTGTTGGACAATAAGTAGCCAACATGTATTGATAGTTCATCTAGTTTTGATATACAATTTGGTATGAATGTACTTATGGACATAATAAAGATTATGTTGTAGTTCCTTCAATGTTTGATTTCACTATTCATACAATATATAAGAAGTCATTAAAACAAGGCCATCGTCCTCAAATATTTTGGTTTCAACATTTGAGATATGCTTATATCGTGCCGATATTCAGGATATATTAAAAAAATCGAAAACCTACAGAATGAATACTTTGAAAGCAAAACTCTGCCAAGCAGAGCCAATATTTAATAGTATGTTCAATTGAAATGTCATTTTAAATGATTAATTATGCTTCTTCATTAATAGTATTTTCAAATAAAATAATTTTCTAAAGGGTTGGTTGTGCTTCTTCTTGAAACTATATGACAGTATTACTGCTAGCACCAAATTGTGATATTATTTGCACTACAGGATGGGGACACCATTTGGTGTGCAATAAGAAGTATCATTTTGTGTTGCCATCCAAGAACACAATGTCAGCCTTCTTGGATTGCATAGATCATCATCATCTAATGACTTCAACAAATAAAATAAATAATAACTATAATAGTTGCAAGGGTAAATTGATCAATGTTATGGAATTACAAGATCACATCATGCACGGGGTCTTTCACTCAAATGGATTCGGGCATTTACTTTGCCTTAACGGATTGGAAGCTGTTGCTGGCTCCAATCTCTCTGGCCGCCAAATCATGAACTTCTGGGATCATCTCTGCAATGCCCTTCGAGCCAGGTGATAATCATCATTTAATTTTAATTAACACATTAATCCTATAATGACTAATGATTAGTTTGGTCTAGTTAAATCTTAACTATGTTGTGATCGATTACAGGAAAGTGAGCTTGAATGACATTTCAACAAAGAGGGGCATGGAATTGAGGCTAATGCATGGGATTGCCTACAAAGCTCCATGGTTTGGTTCATGGGGATACAAATTCAGCAGGGGAAGTTATGGTGTAATTCAACCAATGTATGAGAAAGCCATAGACACTCTTCGAGCTATGCCCTTATGCATTTTAGTTCACTACTTGGGAAGTTCCAATCACGACATCCCAATAATCTTCTCAAGGTACCAAATGTTGTCAGACCATTCCTTAACAACGCTAGGCGACATGTTCCAGTTCATGTTGGAGCTTAAAACCCGGATGGCAGAAGAGAACCTGCTAGATTCATACACTGGTCCTGGGATGTTTGTTGAACAATCGTGTCGGTGGTCACCCAAGAGGATTGAGATGGCAACTCGAGCTATAGTCGAGGCACTGAAGAGGGCAGATTTCAGGTGGGTCTCGAGGCAAGAAGTTCGAGATGCTGCTCGTATATACATTGGAGACACAGGGTTGCTTGACTTTGTGCTGAAATCTCTTGGGAACCATATGGTGGGGAACTACCTTGTTCGTCGATGCTTGAACCCGGTTACTAAAGTGCTAGAGTACTGCTTGGAGGATGTTTCTAACATAGTCCCCACCCAGGACCCGAAGGTGAAGACGACAATACATCAGTATAGAATGAGCAAGTCTCAATTGATGAAGGATATGTTGTACTTGTACAAGCACATTCTAAAGGACTATCCATCATCACTAGTAAAGCAACAGAGTAATGTCAGCAACAATAACACTAACAAGGTGAACGTGGGGATCTTGAGTGTGGTGCCAACAGCTGTTAGGATCATTTTAGATGCCAAGTATTTTGCAAAGGAGTACCATGAAGATCAACATCAAGCAAGGGTTGAAATAGGAAGCGAAGATAAACTGAGTGTATATTGCACTATCATGCTCCGAAACAACAACATAAACATTGAAGGAACAACAACAACACTCCCACCACTGCTACCACCATTTGAGTGTGTTCGTTTGAGGAGAAGCGCCACATTCAACGAGCTTATGGTGGAAGTGGAAAAGATCTTTAGGGACTTGTACTGGGGAATGAAGAACTTGATCTTGGATTCTGTAGCAAACTTGGAAGCCAATGGGAAGGACTTGGTGTTTGGGCAAGTTGAGGTCGGTGGGAAAGTGATATTTCAAGGGAGTAATAAAGGAGGGATTGGGTTTATGAATCATCATCAAAACGAGGAGATGATGTATTATGAGGGTGGATCAAATTGGAACAAAGTTGTGGTTTGTGGATGTGGAGCAAGAGAGGACGATGGGGAGAGGATGGTGTCTTGTGACATTTGTGAGGTTTGGCAACACACTAAGTGTGTTGGGATCCCTCACCATCAACCAACCCCACAAATTTTCCTTTGTAAGAGGTGTGAGAATGAGATTGTGACACTTCCAGCTTTCCCATAACGCTAAAGCTGTAAAGGGGAAAGAGGGAGACTAGTTGATTTTCTGATAATTGTACCTAATAATGCATAAGCAATTGAAGTTGAATTTCAGTAGTAAAACTTAATTCAAAATATTTAAAACTTATGATACCACATGACAATTGTAATAATTTTTTGTTTGTTTTAACAACAACGTTAATGTCCTCATGTTTGTCAAAGATGGAGTTAATAAAGACATAAGATGTTTGACAATGCGGTACATGTCCTACACATAAGTTCCATGTCAATAAAAATATGAAATAGAAAATTACACACATTAGAATTTCTTCATTTTCGCATATTCCTTTCCTAGCTCCTACACTAACCACCCCACTCTCTTGTCTCTTCCCCCCCCCCCCCACCCTATCTTCCTTATCTCAACCATCAATAAACCGATAATGGTCGCCAATGCTCCTATTTTAACTCTTCTCTTTGGCCACTTATTATCGTCTCTCTCTACTCCATCTCGTTCTATCTCTCCATAAATATTTCTCTAATTAAACAATAGTAATCACTTGAGAAATGCAACATTGAATACTGAATGAGAGATCATCAGAGTTTTAGCAATCAAAGTAACTAAGTTAATGGCAAAGTATTGAGGCCATGAATCTTCCTTTAGAGAGTATATGATTAGAAATGACTATATAGAGCCAAGATTGCTTGTTGAAGGAATTACTTTCTCTAATGCAGAAGATGGCTTCTGTTTAGGCCCCTTCATTATAGGCCCTATTTTTCTCTTGCAAAAATGATATCTATGGGTTAGGGTTAGTAACATTTAAGGTACTATTTGAGCAGTGGCGGATTCAGGGACGCCCCCAGGCCACGACCCAGCCCTCTGCTGTATACAGGGCTAGTATAGTACTTGTAAATTTTCTATTTTAAGTATTCATTTCAGTGCTTGTCGGGTTACGACCCAACTCTTTCCGCCTCTTTTCAAATGTGGCCTCGTACTCTACCCTATTCTGGATCTGCCGTTGTATTTGAGGATGAGTATTTAGAACTCCCAAGGAAAAAATATCAGGGTAAATGCCACATTCGGTTACCGAGATTACTAAATCGTGCCATGTTTAGTCACTACAAAATTTTAATATAAATTTGGGTCACTCGAATTACTGAAACAAGTCACATATAGTCACTCTCCCGTTAGACTCCGTCCAACTCCGCTCACTCGAATTATTGAAGCATGTCACATTTAATCACTTGAATTACTGAAACATGTCACATTTAGTCATTCTCCCGTTAGTTTTCGTCCAACTCCATTAATTGAGTTGAACGGAAACTAACGGGAGAGTGACTAAATGTGACATGTTTCAGTAACCAAAATTGATATTAAAATTTTCTAGTGACTAAACATGACAGGATTTAGTAATCTCAGTGACCAAATGTGACATTTACCCAAAAAAAATTTGGTGGAATTCGTAAAGACCCCAAACTTCAAAATTTAGTTCAAACTCACTTCTCCACTCAATTCTAAAAATGTTTTTGGGAAAAGCCTTTCAATTTAAACCCAATAACAAAATTTTGTTTCTTAATTTTCCTAAAACGAAACCGTTGTTCAGCTGGGAGCCGGAAGCCATTTGTGTATTGTACCGCCGCGTCAATCCTCTCTCCGACAAGGTCAACCCCAATCTCTGACGAGCTCCGCTCTCTTATCTTCACTTTGTTTCAGTTTCCTTCTTCCACCTTTCCTAGGGATCGAATAATTTAGTCTCCCTAGTGCTCTCTCGAAGTAACAGTAGTGCATTTAGAATGTAATTGAAACTCACTAGAAACTTATTGCGTTCTTCGCGAGAAGGCTAGTGTTTTTAAGTGGCGGGGTTTATGAAATTTGCCTCCTCTCCTTTTCTGAATATGTCCCAAGTTTGGAATTGTAAGGTCTGATGGAACCTATATATTTGTTTCATTGGCAATTGAGGTTGAATTCTCTTATGGTGTGGAGTTAATTTGCTTAGTTTCCCCTATTAGATTCAGAATTAGAGCTAGGCAGGAAATGGCGTTTAGATGAAGGGAGATGATGAATAAGGTGTAGGGATGGCAACAAAACCCGAACCCACGGGTACCCACCCGACCCAACCCGGTCAACGCGGGTAAAATCCGTGTTGACGGGGTTTGGGTCGGGTTTGGGTTTAAACCCGTTCACTATTCAACGGGTTGGGTTGGGTTTGGGTTTAGGTAAACCCGGCCCGTGGGTACCCGCCCACCCATATAATTAATTTTTTCGGTATATTTAATATTCTAAACAACTAATCTTATTTATGTTTGCGGAGACATGTCTAATTTTTTCTTTTTAATTGTGTAGAATGAAGTTGATGTTATGGAGTGGAGAGTAAAGAAACTTAATTGAAAGGAAGAAGCTTTCAATTAAACATGTTATTTATGTGATTTGCTTCAATTTTTTTGAGTTTTCTTCTAGATTGGTGTTGAACCATTTGTATAGTTAATTTGTGATTTGCTTGAATTTTCTAGAATGGTGTTTTATATATGGATAATTTGTATTGAGAGATTGATATTTGACTTTAATTTTGATAAGAACTTGTAATTGTAAATTTTTTACGACAAAACCCGTGGGTACCCATGAACCCGCGGATACCCAACGGGTTGGGTTGGGTTTGAGTTTTTCAAACCCAGTGGGTTTTACCCCGGGTTTTTTTCAAAGCTAAACCCATGGGTTTGGGTTTGGGTTTGGAAAAACCCGACCCAACCCGACCCATTGCCATCCCTAATAAGGTGTTGAGGAAAGTAGGAGGTAAGGATTTGCCGCCTGCAATCAACGGTGCCCTGAAGAAGTCCATTCCTGACAGAAAGGTGGTGATGGGCAGAGCTCATTGTGGTCTGTTTGCTGGCAAACATATTCAATTCGGCAACCAGATCAGTGAAGATGGTGGAAATAAGTTCGTATTCTTTCTATCTTACTTCATATTGCTTCTGATGCTAGTAAATATATGTGGGATGTCTTCTTCTTGCATTAGTCCATTGAAATGACTGGAAAATACTGAATGTTGCTCCTCTTTGAAACAATATGATATTTGGTTTTTGTTCTAGTACGAGAGTGATATACACACAATGACGGTATTGTGTTTATCTTATTCTTTGTGGTTTGATTGACGCTCAAGATTCTTACTCTTGGCAATTCATTTGGTATTGAATTCATGTAAGCTTCAAGCAATGTGTTTTCCTTTGCTTTCTCAAAAGATATCCACGGTGAGGATACACCATAAAGGACATCATTTGATTGACATAAACATATCATATTAAGTATGGGCCAAGGGTTTACGATTGTCTGCTCGAACCAACTAAGGAAAGTTGTAAGCTTTAGTCTTGTTCAATTTTGAGATCCGTTTGTGTAGTTCAAGAGATTGACTTGATAATTTGTAATAGGATAGGAGAGGATGAATTTGTACATTGAAAAATTTAACCCCTCTGAAGTGGTCTTTGGTGTGATGTGATGATGGTGACAGGTCTAAGAGAAACTAGAAGCCAAACGTCCAAGAGAAGAGGCTATTCAGCTACATCCTCGACCGCCACATCCGAGTAAAGGTCACGACACACACAATCCTTTGCATAGACAAGGCAGGAGGATCGACGAGTATCTGCTCAAGACACCCTATCAGAAGATGGACACAGAGATGGGACTCTTCTGGAATGCCAAAATAAAGAAGATGTACGAAGACCTGGGAAAGTCGGACGTGGTTTTCTTTTCACCCGAGGATGAGGAGAAGCTTGCATAGGGTTTCAATGATTTGAAATTGCCTGAGCGTGATGCGCGGAAGGAGTTCAGAAGGCAACTGTACTCGGAGTTTGCAAAGCAGAAGAAAGTCGCTGACGGGAAAGCTCGTGTTAGCTATATTCTTGCTACTGCCGATACAGCTCCTGGAAAGCTGACTGCTAATAGATGAAGCGTTTTCGAGGTTGGTAATTGGTAGTTAACTTCTGCCTCAGATGATAGAGTTGCCCTCAAATGTTATAAATTTTGTTTGTTTAGTTCCATGGGCTTGTTTTCTTTCTTTATTTATTTATTTATTTTGACGATGGATTGAGTTTTTTATTATTTCCGAGTGATATAAATGGAGGATAAATGTTATAAATTTTGTTTATTTAGTTCCATGGGCTTGTTTTCTTTCTTTCTTTCTTTATTTATTTTATGGATGGATGGAGTTTTTTATTATTTCCGAGTGATATAAATGGAGGATAAGAGTTAAACTTACAATTCTACCCAGGACCCTTTAAAGACTCTAAAGAAGCCACCCAAAAAAAATCAAAAGATTCTAGCTCTAAACGAGACAAAAGCAGTGCTTTACGCGCCACTCTATGTGCAGCACTGTATGGATGGATGGAGTTTAGCGAGTCAACTTGACAACGCCTATTTCTTGTTGAATCATGGACCATCACATTCTCATGGCCAGTATTTTTCGGAAGGTCATGTGCTCAATAGAATAGATGGGGTCATCGAAATTCGAGCAGAAAACTTCTTGATCACATATGACTCTGATACCATGTCAAGAACTAGTTGCTCTCAATAATTCGAGTTGTTGAGATAGGTTCAATTATGGATCATATACCATTTACTAACAATACTGTTGAACAACGCGACAACTTTGTATCGTAGTAGCAAACATCACACAATTTCCCTAAAAAGCAATTATGTACGAACAAGAGACATACAACAATCTCTTTCGGCGGCTCTAGCTATTTATTTCCAATAAATCATCAATCAGAATACATAACACATACATGTGAAACTAACATTAATCATACATAACTCTGCAACATAAATGAAAGGCATCAAATAATAATAGCAACAATGATGGTATACATTTTAACATATGCTTTTTGCTCGGTTCACTTTTCATAAGGAAGGACTACGGTGAGGCCAACGGTGGCAGCAAAAAGAACGAGCAAAAGTCCAATGGAGTTGACGATGTGGCCTTCTTGATCGTTGCCGAGCCCTAGAATTGCAAACTGCCGCACAATGCCGGTCAAGGCGGTGCCGACTGCCATCAGAAATATGATGCTTCCGACGAAGATATGCCACGGAAGATACGACGCCTTTGCGGACATTTGCGCCCCTCGGAACATGTAGAACGCCGCCCCTAACACGAACTGCATTGCCATATGGCAAATCCCATTTCAAATTTTAAGAAATTCAACATATATCATCCGACGAAGATCAAAATGATGATTATAAGGCAAATACGCACTATGCACCCAAGAAAATAAGTGAACGAACGAAACCTGACCAGCCGAGGAGTAATCTTGCTAAAGTTACTTTACTAGACGAAATTGATTTTTTTTTTTAAGGATGGTCATTATGCATTGGGTTTATTATAAGCTTAGATGAAGGTAATTAACCTACCTGTAGAGCAAATGAGGCGACAGTGATAATCCCAAGCCAAGAATGGAGAGTGATCATGTGTTGAGCTTCGATTTGGTGCCTATACCTAAACACCACAACCACGCCAAAAACTCCAGCAAACAGTGCTATCAGATGAAGCGCCAGATGACTGGCTTTTCGAACTCTCCTTCTCCCACCAATGGTCTTATACGCCATGATTCCTGCGCGCCATCATATAAACCCCCCAAATAATTAGTCTATTATCGTGGCTCCAACCTAACTCCGCCACTGATCGATAATCGTACCTTCTCCTGCGACAAGTACGAATCCAATCACCATTACGAGGGGATGCACCTGCCAAAACACACAGTCAATATGTATCATTTGATTAAACTCGATTGAATTAGCTAAATCGTCAATCATTATTATACGATAAAAGGACTTTTGCAACCAGAAAAAGAATCACGAAAAAAAGATGTAACAAATTGGTTGCAAAAGCTTTTAGAGATGATTTTGTTCGTTGGTCCTTGCAGAAGAACTTCTTCTTGTTCGAGAGTGATATAAAAGATCCATAGTAATCTTGTTCCCAATAACTCGAGTGATTCAGACCAATTCAGGTTTTATGATTCATGGTATCAGAGCTAGTTTATGATTCACGAGGTTTGCTTACATTAAAAACCTTGAAGGAGGCTGGTGGCTGAGCATTCCATGCGAGGCCGCCGCGCAGCTTGAGGAGCCAAACCAGGACGAGGGCTGTCGTCGCAATGGCGGTCAAATGCGCCACCACGGTCACTGGCAAAACCGACATTCTCAGACCTCTCATGGTGATTTCAACTCCCTCAAAAACCAAGCTGCCGTAAACTTATTAACTTACTAAGTTCTCTCTCTCTCTCTCTCTCTCTACTTAGTTGCAATGTCTATGCTAGATTAAGAAGCTTGATTAACTAATTGCTGCTATATCCTTTGTTTCCTAAATCCGGCAAACAAAATGCCGGCAAGCTAGGCTAGCTGTGAGATCCCTTGCCGGCGAAATGAAACCCAATTACAGCCTAGTTTCCAAGGTTTTTAGTGATTTGGCCAATTATAAGTAGGCCAGCTAGCGTTAATTCAGCTAAGATAGATTCAAGGGAAAATTATAACCTTTTTTTTGTTTATTAACCTGCGATGATTACAACCTGCGCGCAACAGTGGGGTGCCACCTGGCGACTGGGTATCTAGTCAACATAGTTTGGAGGTTCTAATGTCTCATTGTACAGATTCTAGGCAAGTGTGTGATTGTTGGGTTCTCTTGTTGGCCTAGTCCACTGTTGAGGCACCAACCCTGTTTAACCTTCGCACGAAACTACACAACAAATTAATTCCGACTAGACCCCAAGTTTTTAAACTCTACCGGGTGCAGTATAGAACAAGTATTTAAATTGTCAACCCGGACCGATCCATATACCCCTACTTCAATCGCTTAGATTGTTATCTATCAAGCAACTTTTGGATTTATAAATAATGGAACTACAAACTAAACAAGCAAGGGAAAGTAAATAAAGGAAAACTCTAACTAAGGGAGTTTCACCCAGGAGTTGCTTCCCCCAAACTAGCTACCAAGACTCGTTGGATTGGAACGATTGTTATGGGCAAGGTAACCGCGAACCGCAGAGGGATGCATATATGGTCGGAGACCACAATCTCAATTGCTAAACGGAGGTAAACATTATAGGCCGTGTCACTCGACCCTCTCGGTTTAGACAATCGGTAGTTGACTTACTCCCTCGCTCAACTCAAGGGTCGGACGACTTAATTGCGATTAACCAATTTGCTTAATTCAAAGGGTTGCCCTAAATTAACCTAGTTAGGTGGCTTAAAAAGCTGAAGAAAAACCAACTCGATTGAGTCTCCCTTGGAAGGGGGATTTTCCTCTCTAAGCTAGGTTAAGGTGGCTAATTAGATTGCTAGCACCAACATGCACAAACCTAAGGGTGCTAAGCACAATTATGCACAATCCTTAGGTTGCTAAGCACCAAAATGCACAAACCTAAGGATGCTAAGCACAAAACATGCACAACCCTTAGATTGCTAAGCACGAGCATGCACAATCGACATGAATAATATCTTAATCATTGAATTAAACAATACCCAATGACAATCATTCAATCTAAACAAGTAATTACAAAGTATTAGTTACGGATCTACAACACCCAAGAGAAAAGAGTGAGTTTCTAGAGAGAGGGGGGATTACAAATTTGAGCTCAAGATCTTCTTCTTCTTCTTCTTCTAGGCTTGAATCTCCACCCAAGCCTCCAATGATGCTCCAAGATCACTCTAGCACTCTCTCTCTCTCACTCACTAGAACTCCCCTTTTGGTGTTTGGGCAACCCCTAGAGAAAGAAACCAATTATTCTCCCAAAACCAGCTCCCCTTTCTCTCTCCCCGCTGTTGTCTTCATATTTGCCCGAAAGTGACCAGTTCACGGACGCGTTGGCCAGTTTACGGTCGTGAACACCTAAACGCGTCCGTGAACTCAGCGTCGTCCAAAACGCACCGCTTCACTGCCATGGGTTCACGGTTAATGGCCACAGTTCACGGTCTTAGAGACCGTGAACTGCCTTATCGTCAGTAACTTCAGGAACCTCGCTGGACGCCTCGGTGTTCACAGTTTGTGGTCGAAGTTCACGGTCTTAGGAGACCGTGAACTGCCTCGTCCGGCCGTGAACTGCAGTTGTTTCCTGGGACGCCTTCACTTCACTGTTATGAGACAATTGTCACGGACTTCGGACATTTCTTCGGTTTTTGCGCCTTTTGACCTCGTGGCAATGATATACTAAGCTAAACGAATAAGAAATGAGGGGTAAAATGTGTACATTTGAGCCCGAATCAACCTACCACATTAAAAATGGGTAAATTGCAAGTTTGGTTACTGGAATGGCTAGGTTGTTATTAAAATATTTTATTTTGTTTATGGTTACTAAAATTAGTTTAACCGTTCAAATTTGGTCATTGACCATTACCTTTCGTGAGTCTTCGTTAACAATGTCAATTTTTTTTTACTAGCGTTGCTAACAAAAATGCTAGTCAACCAATTTTATCCAAAAAAACTAAAAAAGCCGATCCACCACATCATAAAAACTCGCATTCACATAAAAACTAATCCAACCCAAGACTCGACCCATCCTTGACTTGTTCAACCTAAAAAACCCCACTCAACCATTCCCAACCCCTCATTCCTGAGCTCCAAAAATAGAGACCCGACGACGGGTCTCAATCCCTAGTTACTCTCTGGCGCCACCTCTGCCATCTCAGCAACCTCCTCTGCATCTTCCCGCAAGACCCTTCCATCTCCCCCCTACCTCTTCAATCCTCGGACTCTCGTCCGGAGGTCTCTCCCGCCCATTCCCTGCCACTCCTACGTCTACGGACTCTGCAATTTCACCTCCGTTTTCGTAGACCCTCACCTCTATGTCCATGGAGGGTTCCTCTTCAACACCCGCTCCTTTCCCATGGATCGTCCTTCCCCATCATGCACCACTTTTCACTCCATTCTGATCACTTCCACCTGGAACCGTGCCGTCTCCGGTGCTCTCACCTCATGGCTCCTTCGCTTATGCGATGAATCCCAGCTTGGGACATATAATTAGAGGTGGCAAATGGATTGGATTGGTGGATTGGTGGATTGGATTGGTGGATCTATGGATCAAGTGGATTGGATCAAGTGGATTGGTGGATTCATGGATTGGATCAAGTGGATTGGTGGATTATCCATGAATCCAAATGACATCCTCAACCAAGGACCAATATGTAAAATGTAAAAAGTTTAGGTACTAAAATGTTACAATGAAAAAGTTTAGGTACCAAAACGTAATTTTCCAATTATATTTTTCGTATACAAATTAAATTTTAGGTACCAAAATGTAAAAAATAAAAATTATAGGTACTAAACCGTAATTTACCAATGATCCATGGATCTAGGGATGGCAATGGGTCGGGTTTTGCCAAATCCAAACCCAAATCCATGGGTTTATCTTTGAAAAAAACCCGGGGTAAAACCCACTGGGTTTGAAAAACTCAAACCCAACCCAACACGTTGGGTACCCGCGGGTTTATGTGTACCCACGGGTTTTGTCGGAAAAAATTTACAATTACAAGTTCTTATCAAAATTAAAGTCAAATATCAATCTCTCAATACAAATTATCCATATATAAAACACCATTCTAGAAAATTCAAGTAAATAACAAATTAACTATACAAATTGTTCAACACCAATCTAGAAAAACTCAAAAAAATTGAAGCAAATCACAAATTTTCCATAAATAACATGTTTAATTGAAAGTTTCTTCCTTTCAATTAAGTTTCTTTACTCTCCACTCCATAACATCAACTTCATTCTACACAATTAAAAAAAAAAAATTAGACATGTCTCCACAAACATAAATAAGATTAGTTGTTTAAAATATTAAATATACCGAAAAAATTAATTATATGGGTGGGCGGGTACCCACGGGCCGGGTTTACAATTACAAGTTCTTATCAAAATTAAAGTCAAATATCAATCTCTCAATACAAATTATCCATATATAAAACACCATTCTAGAAAATTCAAGTAAATAACAAATTAACTATACAAATTGTTCAACACCAATCTAGAAAAACTCAAAAAAATTGAAGCAAATCACAAATTTTCCATAAATAACATGTTTAATTGAAAGTTTCTTCCTTTCATTTAAGTTTCTTTACTCTCCACTCCATAACATCAACTTCATTCTACACAATTAAAAAAAAAAAATTAGACATGTCTCCACAAACATAAATAAGATTAGTTGTTTAAAATATTAAATATACCGAAAAAATTAATTATATGGGTGGGCGTGTACCCACGGGCCGGGTTTACCTAAACCCAAACCCAACCCAACCCGTTGAATAGTGAACGGGTTTAAACCCAAACCCGGCCCAAAACCCGTCAACACGGATTTTACCCGCGTTGACCGGATTGGGTCGGGTGGGTACCCGTGGGTTCGGGTTTTGTTGTCATCCCTACATGGATCCAATCCATGAATCCACCAATCCAATTGGATTTGGATCAAATGGGTTGGATTTAAATGGATTGGATTAGGTGGATATTTTTAATGGATTGATGGATTGGATTGGTGGATTGGATTGAAATTGCCACCTCTACATATAATTAGAGATGACAACTAGGATCCATATCCATGATGTTACAACTTCTCCCAAATCTTCTTAATTGAAATTTTTTCAATTGAAGCAACGACCCAACACACCACACCATTCGAGACACAAAAGTAACCCTGAACCTTTGGTCGATTTCTCATCAGCTTAAGCTCATTCCAATAACCGTTATTCGCATCAAGTCCCTCTATTCAGTCTGGATTCCAATATCCATGTGACCCACGAAGATCATTTTTGTAAAAATATCCAATACATGTCATGATATATATGATTCATGCTACTGTATGTCTGGATTATTTGGATTTTACTATTTAAACTATGAATTGTTTGGATTTTGGTGCATGATACTATACTCTAACTTCTAATGGGTGAACCCCAATCTTTCATTTTCTAATCCAAACTATAAGAATAATTTAATCTAAAGATAATGACCTACGGTTCAGATTCATCGAAATATATGAAGTGCATCTAATAAGTGCAAACGCAAGCGTATATTATATGCATGGAGTATGCTAGTGAAATATCTCTATGTAGACCACGAATTAAACCGAGTTTGAGATATGATAATATACCCTAACCTCTGTTGGAGAAACCTCACGCCTCGACCTCTCGAAACTCAAACTTAACGTTCAATTTAGTAGAAAACAATA